TACAAAGAATCAATGAATTGAAAAGTTGGTTCTTTGAAAGAATAAAATTGATAAACCATTAGCCAATCTCATCAAAAAGAGGAAAGAAAAAACACAAATTCAAGCAATTAGGAATGAAAAGGAGGAAATCACAACAGATCCTGCAGAAATCCAGAAGATTTACTACAAGATTACTACAAGAACCTGCATCATTTTCTTTTTTTTTTTAAACCCGGGAAACTTTTTTTTTTTTGTCTTTTTGAAACAGGGTCTCGCTATGCAGTTCAGTCTGGCCTTGAGCTCACTTTGTAGCATTTTGGTGTTGAACTCACAACAATCCTCCTGCCTCAGCCTCCCGAATGCTGGGATTACAGTGGTGTGCCACCACGCCTGCCAAGAACCTATATTCTAATAATATGGAAAATACAGAAGAAATGGACAGATTCCTAGACACAATTGAACTGCCAAAACTAAATCAAGAAGATATAAAGATTCTAAATAACCCAATATCAGCCAATGAAATTGAAAGTACAATTAAAATTTACCAACAAAGAAAAACGCAGGCCCTGATGGATTTACTGCTAAATTCTACAGGAAATTTAGAAAGAACTAATGCCACTAATGCTGAAAACCTTTAAGGAAATTGAAAGGGAAGCAATACTTCCAAAAGCATTCCTGAAAGCAAGTATTATCCTGATTCCAAAATCAGAGCGGAACCCAACCAAAAAAAAAACTACAGTCTAATATCCCTGATGAACACAGATACAAAAATCTTCAATAAGATACTGGCAAACAGAATGCAGCAAATTATCAGGAAGATTATACATCATGACCAAGTAGAATTCATCCCAGGGATGTAGGGATGGTTCAACATATGCAAATCAATAAATGTAACACACCACATTAATAGAACCAAAAACAAAAATCACATGATCATCTCAATCAATGCAGAAAAAGCATTTCACGAAGTCCAACACTCATTCATGATGAAAACCCTACAGAAAATTGGAATAGATAGTTTTTACCCCAATCTGATAAAAGCCATCTATGACAAACCAATAGCTAACATCATGCAAAATGGTAAAAAACTGAAAGCTTTCACTCTAAAATCAGGAACAAAACAAGGATGTCCACTATCACCACTCCTATTCAATATAGTTCTGGAAACATTAGCCAGAGCAATTAGACAAGAGAAAGAAATAAAAGGAATAAGGATAGCAAAGTAAGAAGTGAAATTATCATTATTTGCAGATGACATGCTAATCTAAATAGAAGACCCCAGAAGCTCCACCAAAAGACTGGTATACTGAATAACCAAATTCAGGTGTGTAACTGGATACAAAATCAACACTCAAAAATCAATAGCATTCTTGTACACAAGCAACAATCTCACAGAGAGAGAAATTAGGGAAACCACACCCTTTACAACAGCATCCAAAACAATCAGATGCTTATGAATCAGTCCAACAAAGGAAATAAAAGATCCATACACTGAAAATTACAGTACTCTGAAAAAGGAGATTGAAGAGGGCATCAGAAAATGGAAAGATATCACTTGCTCAAGGATAGGAAGAACCAACATAATACTCCCAAAACTGTTATACAGATTTAATGCAGTCCAAATCAAAATACCATTAGTATATCTCACACAACTATAAAAAACAGTCCTAAAATTCATTTGTAACCAGAAGAGAACTAGAATAGCAAAAGCAATTCTGGGCAACAAAGGCAAGGCAGGGGCATCGCAATCCCTGACCTGAAATTATACTACAAAGCTACTGTGGTAAAAACATGGTATTGGGAAAAAAAAAACAGACCTGAGGATCAGTGGAACAGAATAGAAGATGTAGATGAAACTCTAAAGACACTCAGCCACCTTATGTTTGACAAAGGAGCCAAACATGCTCACTGGAAGAAAGATAGCCTCTTCAATCAGTGGTGCTGGAAAAACTAGCTTTCCACATGCTGAAGACTAAAACTAGACCCAGGTCTATCACCATGCATTAAAGTCAATATGGATCAAAGATCTAAATATTAAAACTGAAACACTAAATTTACTGGAAGAGAAAATAAATAGAAATCTTGAAGACATAGGTGTAGGTAGAGACTTCATGAACAAAATGCAGATCACACAGGAAATACTACAAAGAATCAACAAACGGGATCTCACCTTATTAAAAAGCTTTTGCACAACAAAAGAAATCACCAACAGAGTATAAAACAACCCACAGAGTGGTAAAAAATTATACCCAGTTGTCCCCCAGACAAAGGACTTGTATCTAGAACATATAAAGAATTTTTAAAAATCAGGCCCCCCAAATTCAAAGACCCAATCAAAAATAG